CCTTCCCTCCCCATGCTGAAAAGCGCTTGGTCTGCTTCATGTCTCCTCACATAGAACTCTTCCCAATCTTGTGACCTCTGACTGTATTTTCCTAGCTCTTTTATGGACACTTCCTGAAAGAGGATGACCAGAAATAAGCACATCATGTGTGGATTTGTACAACATTATGACATTTTAAATCTTGTTACTCTATTACTTGTTTATTACTTTATTATATCCTAATATTTTATTTGGCTTTTAGCTGTCAACCAGATGAGAGTTGACATTTTCAGTAAGTCTCTCACCATGACAAAATACTACTTGACCAGTACAGGAGGCTATTACTGTGCATGCACCATTAGCTTTTTTCCCCATGTACATTACTTGGTATTCATCAACACTGATTTTTTAATCACCCATTCTACCCACCTAGTCACTCATTGCCACAGAATTTTTTGCAACTTCAGAGCTGACAATTTAATTCTCACTCTATTTCTTATCTTTTAATTAGTAATGAATGTTACGAATGAGGAAATATTTTCCACACTTGTGCCGTGAGATCATTTTTCAAAACTTCTGCTAGGGGTTCTTGACAAATATTTTGAAAATTTAAGTGTCTTGTATAAAGCAGTAGCTCATAATTCCCTTTCTTTTCCCTTCAGTTATTTTAAAATACTGACATGCTACCTGCCACCCTCCTTCAGAAAGGCAATCAGACACACCAAGAAATATTTCATTTTATTAATATTTCAGCAACCTCAGCTTCTTGACAGTTCTTCAGAGGTACATTCAGCTCTGCTGTCCTATGGCATAATGCTTACAAAGGCTATGATTTCTAGATCACCACAATATTTTCCAATAAAGGAATTTCTATAACTCAATATGTTATGGTTTCAGCTTCTCACAGAAAGCAAAAGCTATGTACCACTCAAAAAATAAAAATAAAAATAATAATCAATAAATAAAATTTAAAAAGCATCACAGTAGTGATCACTGCCTTGTATCTGAAAGCCTGCAAGTTATTTGGCAGATCAGAATTGAAGGAAACAATGTCTCCACCTTGCCTCAGAAGCACGTTCTACTTTATAACACATTCTTAATGTTCATTAAGCCTCAAACACAGAGTAACCATAGTCACTGACTATATTAAAGAAGCCACACCATCAATTTTACCAATTCTCTTGTGGTAGATCAAAAGGACCATGAACCAGCCTGAAGGCAGGGTAATTAAAAATGTATATAGTTTTAGCCCTCCTTTTGTTGGCATATGAAAAACCTACCCACGTTCAGCTCAACTGCAGACTATAAGAAGAATGAGGCTAATTATAATTCGCGCAGAGCACAAAAATTACTTCTTAATATACACATGTAATTTTTGCTGCTGACTAAAAAGCTCCAGGGCTTTAATATATAGGGCTAGCAAAGCACTCTGCTGCAGTCAAAACAGTGTCCATTACAGCATGACCATATCCTGAATGTTCCTGGTTCATTATTGCCAAATGCAACTCAGGCTCTCCTTGACTGACCTGATACACCATAACATAGCAACAGGCAATAGACAGCCCTGTAACACGAGCCTTCAGGACATGCAATACTGAACAATATGAACACTACTAGGTGATGAGGTTATCATAACATCATAAATAATGTAGAGATGTCAATTTGTGATTTGCCCTTTACTGCCTCTTGCTTCTTCTGACCCTTTTTCACCTTACTTCTTTGCACAGATCTGAAACACTGACAACACCCATGCAGCCCCTCTGCTTAATATGCAAAGATAGAGACAGCTGGAAACAAGCCATAGTTGTCTTCCCCTTTCTCCTCACACTTTCCTTTTTATTCAACAAAGCATAAAAAAGCCTTTGATATGGCCCCACATGACACCTTTATCTCTAACTTGATGAAAGATTTATGTGATGGATGGACTGCCTAAGATAAGGAATTGGCTGAATAACTCGATGTCCAGGTGGAGGTGTGGATCAGCCCATCGGGGGTCTGTATGGGGAGCGGAACCATTTAACATCGTTATTAACAGACAGTGGGGTTGAGTGCACTGTCATCAAACTTGTGGATGGCACCAAGCTCAGTTGTGAAGCTGATGTAACAGAAGGAAGAGATGATGGCCAGAGGGACCTGGACAGGCTTGAGAAGCGGGGCCTGTCTTTGAATTGTTAATGTCAACAGGCACATCAGCATAACCTCATATTTGTGGAAGATATCAGCATAGATTTTTTCTTCTGTTTTGAAACATTCGTTCATAGTCAACAAGAAGTGGAACTGTAGTCACTGCCCTTCCTCTCTCTCTTCCATGTCCACACATGCAAGATGACATAGAACCTGCTTCCTTACTTACTCCTACCCTCCTACTTCACACTACTAATATCAAAGTGCTTTAGTGTAGATTTATTCCTACCATAAGAAATATATGCACTGGAAAATAACATTACAAGCATATACAAAGCCAAGGACAACCTTCAGTGATGAAATTGTGGACTCTGCCTCTTCTTCTTGCTTTGTATAAATGAAATTCCATTATCTACTGCAGAATCTATTCAACATATTTCCAGTAAAGATCAGCAGTGGCATGCACGCCATCATCATTCCCCGTATTTTTAAATTTAATTAAAAATAATCCAAGGCCAGTTGTCACAGAAATTGGGTTTTGATTTTTATTTATTTATTTTAAGTCAGCCTTTAACAAGCTGTTGATTATAGAAAGCACGAAACCTGATACTAGGTGGCTGAGGGCTAGTAGCTAGGCACATAAGAAAAGAATGCATAGAGCTCTCTCTGCTTCAGACTCTGCAGTCCCTGACCAAAGCACTGATTTGATTTCATGACTGCTCTGTACAGATAGCTGACATTACTAAACACTACTCCAGTATCAGCTTGTTAAATTTGAACTCAGACTCAGCGTATCAGTATACTAGGCCAGACTAACTGGAGTCAAGAGAAATATTTTGGGAGTTGTTTATTTTTAAATGAGTCACAACACACCATGATAATTAATTGGACTATACAATTAAATGATTGCCATAGAATCCATTGTATTCGTTAAAGGCTGTAGAAGCAAATACAAAATTATTCCTCTAGCATACTCTAGTGAATTGCTGGGCTGCCGTGAAGTCAACTACAGCTTTTGCTTGGTTTGGTGGAGGGCTTTTAATTCTTTTAAATAAAGGTTTGATAGGAAATTGTATACAAAGATCTCAGAAGTGATATGGCTCTGTGCCTTTCAGAAGAATATGGAAAAAAAACCCACTAATATAAAGCCTTTCTTATCCAGTTTTCTGATGTTAGAGATCTTTTCAATTTGTGGACATGGCACAAATTATGTATTTGGCATAAGTCAAATATCTGCAAATACACAATAGGTACAAAACTGCCATAATCTGGGATTCAGATTCTTGATATATAAAGAATTTTAAAAAGTGAGATCTGGCCTGGATTTCCTGACAATCCACTCTGAACACCATTTCCAAGAACTGAAACCAACTATTTATCAGTTCAGTGACGTTCACCAGAAACACTGACAATCCTGAACTTGGATGTTACCTAAATTAAATGTAGTAAAATTCATTCGGTATTTAAATATACTTTACATAGTAAATGACACTAAACACAGAAGCCAACAGTCGCATGTACTTGAAATGCATGACTCAAAAAAAAAAAATACCGAAGAAGAGAAAACATGTTATGTATAACTAGATCCAGACTACTTAAAATGCCATAATCTGTTTGTGCTTATTGTGGAATTTGCCATCAGCTTTACAGTGACATTTTGGGATGAGGAATCAACAAAGTGCATGTTGATTTCCAGTGATCCACTGTGAACTTCATAATGAAGCTTAAACTGGGACCAGGATTTTTACAAGTATATGACTTCTTAGGCAAAAAGCAAATTAAAAAAAAATAAATAAATCAAAAGCAGTGAATCATCAGGAACTAACTGAAGGCAATGACAATGAAAATTACAGGATATCATCTTCAAGGTAATATTATTACTAGTTCAGTAAGGAAATGTCAGATCTTTGGCCTAAAACCCATTACTTCAACAAGCAAATTTTGACTACAGTAATTTCAATTAATGGACAATGAGGTCTTAAAACTTGAAATGACTTTTCAAAGTGCTACTGCTCTTTCACCAGCATTCACAATTAAAACCAGTAAATAATATTCAGCTTGTTCAAGTCTTCACAACCTCATTTAAACAAGTCCTAAAATTCATATTTCATACAGTTTATGCTTTACTAACAATACAAACTGCTGCAAGACCAAACTCTTCCAAAATTCAGTTAGATGTAAGTTTCATTACCGAAAATATATTTAATATAAAGTTTCTAGAGCCGAGTACTATAATTTGACAGCAATGTTGTTGGGAGAGATATTAAGTTACAGCGTCCTGCTCAGACTGAAGAAGTGGTTGGAAGGGAAAAAAAATAAAAGGAAAGGAAACTGAAAATTCCTGTGGTTCAGGGTGTATACAGAAACAAATGGTATTTACAGTTTCTCTGTTCAAATACAAGTTATCTTTAATCTTATGCAGAGTAAACCTATACTGAGAATAAAGCTTATATGTAATAAACCTGAAAGCCTTCTTCACAGTAATTTATGCATTTTGTCAACTTTAAATGCAATGTTAATCATTACTATAATTGAGCTAAAAAGTCATGTATTTAAAACTTTAAAAGCTGAAGCTCAGTTATTTAGACATTGAAGTTATTTAAACAAGAAAATCCCCTCAGGTTCACGTAAGCAGGAAATTATTGTTTATAATATATTAAATACAGATACTTCACTATATGACAAATTCACCAAAAAGTACCATATTCTAAGAGTCAAATCTAAAAAATGAGTGTTGTGAATAATATAACAATTAACCTCCCCAATGATGACAACTTAACAACATTAGGAAATTCTGAAATACCTGTGTTTAAAGTCTTGATTATAAATTTATTTTAAATTTATAATTTTGATTTCAGCTGTAGAACACTGATTTTTCTATAAGTCAGAACACTTACCTTATGGGGCCTCCACAAAGAAGTGCTAGATATTTCCCTTTTAGAAGTTCCATATCTTTTCTTAACACCACTTGTTTTTCCTTCGTTCCCAGGTTTGAACTGTATGTGCAACTGAGACGTCCTTGCATTATGACACTTGTATTTAAGACTGGATAAACAGCAAGAAACTTTCTGACGCGATCCTTCCAATGAAACACTTCTTTGCAAAACATGGTGGGCTTTGCTCATCTGTGCATTCGGTCTTTCCAGTTCATTTATATTCATCTGGTATTCTGAATCTATTTTTGAGGGTAAACATGCAGATGTGCTGCGTGCCAGTTTTAAAGGAGGGTATTTTGCACCGGAGTTCAGATTTAACTCTTGACTGCAACAGCCATTAACCATTTCATTGCTTGATGCAAATGCTCTTGGAGTCAGATGAACTGAAATACATGAGAGGCTGTCAGCTATTTCTCCACGAGCTGCCTGCTCAGAACTGTTCAAAATTTGATTTTTGTCCTGTAATGATGTATGCAAGTAAAGTGGTCTTATGTCTCTAGCTTCACCAGATGCGCAAGCTGTTTTAGACAGTCGAAGTCCATTGACTGCTGTTGAAAGGAATCCCTTGGAAACAGTTTGATCTTCCTTATGTGCCAGCTCACTAGGAAAAATAATTAGTTTATGTGATGTTTGATAGGCACCTCTATGTGGCATCTGATTTGAGGTTACTGGAGATGCTGGAGGAGTACTGGAAGGGCTTCTGGGGAAAATTACCAACGATGAACACCGCCGCAGAGGAACTTTAGTTTTCTTCCTCACTGACAAAGCTTCTTGGTCAAAAGCCGTATTAATTCTACACACTTCTATTTCTTCCTGAGATGAACTGTTTCTGTATGGGCTACATTTGTTTGCAGCGTTTCCATACGAAGAATCACTGTGTACAACACTACAACAGAAAGAACCATCGCTTGTCGAGAGAGTGCCGCTGCCGCTGTCACTGATGATGCTGTTACTATACGAACCTCCGTCGCTCGCGGTACTTGCACACGACCCATAGTCACTGCCAGCACTGCTGAAGGACCCATTGTCACTGGCTGCAGTACTGTTAAGACTGCCGATGCACACAGCAGTATTGCTCAGTTGGCTATCGTTAGCTTGATGATCAACCACAGTTCTAATGCCACAATTTCCTTCATTACAAATACTGATGAATGAAGCATCTTCGCCAGTAGCTGCAGCATCACCAGACCGAAAACATCCACTATACTTTCTAGACTGCAGAGAAATGTGCAGTGACGTGCTCTTTTTTTTCTGCAGTGAAGGAATAGTTGCATTTCCCTCTTGATTAATCACTTGCTGCATTACAGGTGCACAAGCAACTTGTCTAGAAGCCAGCTTCATTTGTGTAACATTAGGTCCCGAATTCTGTGCCTTTTTGAAGTACGTTTGATTGCTACTGTCCAAAACATCTTCGGAGGTTTCCGATAACAGATCTGTGTTTCTTCTTTGGGTTGCAAAATGCAATCTTAGCCGTCGTGCCATTTGTTCTCATTTCCATGCATATTAGCAAATTAAAACCACAAAGATCCTTCAGCAAAAAGTCTACAAGCAGCTGCAGAGAACCTGGAGCTAGTGCATCACAACAGTAAAAGCCCATAAAAGAAGTTGCAAACTTTGTCCTAATTTCTACAGGATCGTAGCGTTAAGAAAAAAGATATTGTACCTCTTGAAATCAGTCAGCCATTTGTTGAAGTGCAGCTTCTGGACCGTCTTTGATTGCTCGCAGTCAGAAAGCATTCATTTATAAAGCACTTACATTCCAGAGACCTCAGCTGCAATGTACTGACAAACACTATCAACCTTGTTTCAATTATACCTTCTGCAATTTGCATATATGAATATAATAATAACCTCCCAGCACTTCCAAGTTTAAAACAGCAGCTTCTGCTGCAGCTGCACTAGCTGAGTCAATGTGCCCGTACTTTCCCCAGCAGCGTATGACTACTAATATTTTTACCCATAGGTTTAGAATTACAGGAAGTTGGTAGGAATGAAATCCCATATAATTGAGTATCAAGTCTGGGATTGAATTTCCAAATAGTAGCCATGCTAGCAAACTGCTGAGGTCTGATTTATGCATAAACCAGCAAAATAACCCTTCTCCTAAAAAAGTTTTTCTAGGCTATTTAAACAAAACTTGAAAGAAACCTGGCATTACCTAACGATCTGCATTCTGTTTAACCAATCACACTTTGCAAAGATTTCCACATAGTGAAAAGCTCTCCTACCACTTAGTTAATTTTTTTTTTTAGTGAGATGCCTCTAAATTTGAAGCGCAACAAGATATTCTGATTAATAATTCAGCACGCCTTACTTCCAGCCATGTTAAATAATATATTTTAACCTTTCCAAATTACAGCTGTTGAAGGTAGAAAGAAACAAAATATTCTTACAGTGCAAAGCAAACTACCATCTTGTTTGCTGGAAGCCCAGAATAAGTGGACATTCATTACAGTTCGATATGGAATGCAAATGTATGCCCAGCTACATAAACTGCAGAACACTGAGAGAATTATGCACTACGATAAATATGGTCACTGAACACAATTACAGAAGAAAGCTATTCTGTATAATTACATATAAGCTGTCATCTACATTCATAGCTAACTACTAAGATTTGGTTGTTTGTTTTTTTTTTTTTCCAGTAAAACAATCAAAATGAACAGCATATAAAGAAACTAATATACAGTCATCTCTTGAAAGAATAACAGGACTGAGAGTTCCTACAAATGTTTCAATGTCTCATCATCTGGAAAGGTCCTTTGCTGGCATCTAGTGGGACGTCTGAAAAAAGGCAATCTTGCTATTCAATATTTTTTTTCTTTTTCCTTTATTTTGTGTGTGTGTTCACCCCCTTCTCTTTTTTTTTTTTTTTTAAACATATTTGATATGCATGTACTTGTGAATACAGAAGCCATATATACAGTATAAATACGTATGTACAGTACAAAACACTACCAGACTAGCATGAAATTACTTAGTGCTGCTGAGAAAGTGCAAACAGAAGAGAACACTAGGCCATTTATACTTTTATAGGTCACACTACTAGATTTTTTCTGCTCCGTATTTATTTAACCTTTGCTGTATTTTAAGCTAGAAGGTAATAAAATTAACATTTAAACCTCCTTCCCAAATAAGAGCCAAGAATCCAATTCACAGTACTCTGTTTGCAAGCAACAAATTTGTTTTCTAATTATACTCCAGGGCTTACTTAACCTCCATTACCTGAATTCCATGATTAGAATGCAGCAGTAAATGAATACTACCTTATTCATAAAAGCCAACAAATACAATAGTTCATCTATTTCATTATGCTTCACCAGCTGGATTTCTTCTAATGTTATGTGCTGGAGCAGGAAGAAAAGTAAAATACCATAAAAGCTTTTTTGGTCACAGTTTTAAAAGAGTCACAGTTGAGCTACAAGCAATATATTTTAAAAAGTACACACTCTAAGCTACGTGAACAAAAAGGAAACAATGCAGTTCTTCAAGAATCTTTCTGTTCCAACAATACACCTATTAGCAGCACAGTTTGTAACATGTTAGTTTCATACACAACAAACTGCAACAATTTTACTGGACATACTGTTTTCAGTAAAAGTTAAACATTAAGACATATTGGTGATAAAACCAGTGCTGCAGAACTTCCAATTTATGCCAGACTTTGAAGAGGATTTTTGAGCCAAGTTTTCAGGAAAGCAACATTACTTAAAAACAAGGAATTTCTAGCTTCAATTTCTCTCCATAAGCTAAGGGGAATCACAACATGTGGGACAGAATTCTACAAAGAGGCAGACGGTCCCACAACTGTAAGAGAATTTCAATGTTATCAGCTTACATCTACATTTTGAACAGCTGTCCAACAGACAGAACAAAGAAAGACCGATCAATATTCAAGCCCACTATAACCAATGAAAATGAAACACCTTTTGAGCACATCTGCACACACATCTTTGTGAAAATGCATGAAGTATCCATGATTTCTGACATGAGAAGATAATAGAAGTGAGCAAGACTGTCAATCCCCAGGAATCACAGATACAGTAATGATTTGACCAATTGAGGTAGTTCAAGACACATGGGACAGAAATTTAGTGTCCACCTAACAGAAAGCAAGCTAAATAGGAATAGGAAGACAGCTTTTTCCACTGACTGAAGGAGGAGATGGGAAAGGTTTCAAAAAAAATGTTATCACAGAACTCCACAGTGAGTGATTAGGTCATGCTGCTCTGATCTTCAAACTCAGTTACACAAAGGAAACAAAGCACTATACCACATTGATGCCAATGCCTTGTTGATTCCTCTCCCATAAGCAAAGAGAGGAAACAACTCTCATACTTTCTATTAAAGAATGAACAACAAAGAATTCTCTTGGTGGAAACCAGAAACCTCTGCTTTTTTCCCTTAATTTAGGCATCTGTTTTTCTGATCACGTCTCCCCACTTCCACTTGGTGGCAGTACGGATCCAAAGACTATGGACAGTACTTCAAACCTATGCTGCAGCACTTAACAGCACTTTGAGACTAACTTCCAAGCATCTTGACACACAGACTACAAATTCTGGTGATTCCATTTAAAGTTGCTTTAAATATTTGAACTATCTGGGACAGGAAACACCATCAGCCAGCAATAAAATGACTTGGTTATAGCATGATGGCTACAACCAAGAAATAAAGCTCTCCTTTCATAAATGCAATTATTCAAAAGAAATCAGACTTATATTTGCAGACATTTATATTCTTTCAACCATTAGCAGAATAGCACCTCCATAAAAGATACAACAGATTACTGACAATACAGACAGCATTAGGAAAAAATGAAAGGGTTTTTGCTTCTAACACATTCCTCAGAATTTCCTTTGAAGAAATTCTTCAAAATGGCTGTCAGAGCAAAACAGTGTCTGAAGTGCAAACTAAAGTCCACTCAAGTCTCTCCAATTAGGTTCTATTGAAGAAAAGGTATATATTCCAGTGAGGCAGAATGTCTGTTAAACAGGCCTACAACACAAGTGTTAGCCTTAGTAATTCACAATTGAGCACAAAGGCAGGAATAAAAGGAGGACTCTTCACATAGGAAACGAGAACATGGTCAGGAGTTAACAATTTCACCAAGGACACAAATGCACAAGCTATCCCTACTTTATTTATGATATCTCATTCACAGAATAACAAGATAACACTCCAGTGTCCATTTGTTGACAAAGAAAAAGCACATGATTTCTGTCCTGCCACTCCTTCATGCGATTGAAAATGCCCCCCACGTATACAAACATCTACCTACAAATATCTACACTCTCAACACTACTTCGCAGGAAAAATAAGCATTCAGTAAAGAGCTTTCAGTGTCACAGAAGGACTCTGCCATACTGCTGGAGAAGCAATGTAAGGGAAAATGCTTCTGAGTTAAAGCATGTTAGAAGTTCAGAGTAATGGCCTCATTACTTCAGAATTAGGTCTTCCTTTGGGTGGTTGTTTTTGGGTTTTTTTTTTGGGGGGGTATTCTTTTTAAATTATTTTAATTTCCAACATTGAATCCAGATGAAGTTATTTTCACTGAAGCCTTTATTAAATTGCAATATTAATACAAAAGCACCTACCAAACGGTTTTCATCAAACACTTCAAAAAGGAGTCTGTGTTTCTGAGGATTAACCTAGGAAAAAGAAAGATGTTAACAGTTAAAATATCTGCTGAATTCCACTGTTCGTGCCATTAAGACAAATGACATATTTCTTCCCTCCTGCACAAGCAGAGGAAGACTAATAAAAAGTCAAAATTAAAACAACGGTTTCTCATAGAACTTGGTATGAGAGTTCAAGAATGTATCATTGCTTTTACATATATCTAAGTAAAAACTAAAGGATGCTGACATCCAGATTATGATTCTTTTTCCTCCCATAACACTGGCTTAAAGCATATGTAAGCATATTGGTTTAACTAGAGGTCTAAAAGGACCAAAAAGTATTTTCCAACATTGAGATACATAACCTAAAAAATATTTATGGTTAAATTTACAGATGGCAAACTAGTGAACCATATGTTGTTCTTCCATGGAAGATTTAAAACCAATGGTTTATCTTTATTAATCAAACTAGAAGTCTTGAACAACACCACAGCAAGGAAAATTAAAATTTTCATCAGTAAAAAAAAGTTATTAAAAAGAGGTATAGCTAACAAATGCAATAAAATGACCTCCTTCTTCCTCACATAGCACTGACAGAAAGAAAGATGAGAGGATACTGCCTATAAGCATGTAAGAAAGAGAGGCAACAGTAATATTCAAAACAACAGCAAAAAGTGGAAAGAATTAAAATAATACCAATGGTGCAAGACCAAGCAGGCAATCTAATAAGTTTATCAGAGGGGAATAAAAAAGAACTAACCCATACATATAAAGATATCCAGGAGTATAGTGGTTTTTTATGTTGCAGAAAAACTCTGACTGGAAACTGACGATACATGTTACTTTATACAAGGTCACAATTTCCTCATTATTCAAGATTTAAGTTGTTTATCAGAGGAGGGAAATTCATCATCACTTGGGCATGCTTTACAAAGGCAGCTGTCTCGCATTCCAAATTCAGAACTCAAGTGTTCTTTATAGCAGTCACTTACAAAATTGGGTCCTCCCAGCTCCTGAAACACTCAACAATACTGTCCACATTCTGACTATGTGCTTGTTGGACAAATAAGACCTACATTAAACATCAAATCTACATTTTGTTCCAAAAATATAAATGATAGTATGTTCATTATGCAACACCACCAATTGGCACCAATTAGCCAAAATCTGTGCCATCCCAAAACTAGTTGATAAATTTATGCCCAAGTTTTTCTGCATTTCTGGAACAAAGAACGTAAAGATTTATATTTGTGCTACAGTAAAATTTTCAGTCTTGAAAATAACAGATGTGCTGCTAAGGAAAGTAGTCCATAAGCCTTTGAACATTAATTATAAACACTGCATTTCTGGTTTAAACAAAGCAGCAAGAAAAAAAGAATCCTATTAACATAATAAGCAACTCAGGTAACAACATAGTAAAAAAAAAATCCACAAAAAAGCACAAACACTTACTCGAAATAAAAGTTCCTCATTCCACTTTGGGTTCAAGGACTGTAAGTAGGGAGGAAAAGGACAACATTGGTTACAGTGCCAACAATATACTGGTGCCTTTTTCTGCTTTTCTTCACATCACATCTATTTCATCTCCTGTAACAACCTACTTCAAGCACAAAAGCTTTAATCTTGCTATTACAGATAAAAGTCATAGAAGTCTTACGCTGTTTAATGCAGTGCAAAATTGAGACAACTTATACACATATTCTCAGATCTTGGGTAATAGCAGGGATGCAGAAAAGGCCTGTCCTGCCATGCAAATCAGTTAATTTACTGTATGTCTTCAGTAGCACTCTCTGCTTCCTCTCAAGTCCATATCTGCTATCTGCATTGCTTACATGCAAGCACAAATTAATTCTAAATTATGAACTCATAGCAAATGCCAGATCTCTCAACAATGTCATCTAGACACAGCAGGCACAGATGGACCAAAACCAACATTCTCTGATCAACCACACATCTATTTTGAGTGTGCCTATTTTTAAAAATACTATAGATGCTTAATAACAGTTATCATGAAGCTGCATGAAGGTGAAATAGAACCACAGAACAATTCTTGGGTCAGCTCATAACAAATCATTACCAACAGCAATTTGGAAGATTATTTTCTCTCTCATGTATAGTCTTTCCTTTCCAATAGATCTACCATAAATTATTACTTCTAACACTGACTTTTGTCTGAAATATCCTAGAGAAACCAAAAGTATCATGACTCAGGTGAACTATACAATTTGATGCACAAAACAGAAAAGTTGTATAGAAAGAGACAGATTATTACACCATTAAGGACCTAAAACAACTAAAGCAACCCAGTACTTCCATTAACTACTTAGTTTTGGGTCATTACTTACCTTATCTTCTTTAATGCTTCTCACCTTACACCAGTAAATTTATTGAAAGGAAAATACTAAAAATAATGCAACAAACAGAAAAATAGAGTAGACTATAGAACATTTTTTTCCACTCAGAAGGAATGTTAGTCCTCATATTTTTGTCATTTTAATTTTTTTCCTCAGAGTTTAATGAAAGAAATAAAGCCCACATCCACAAAGACAAGTAAGCTAACCTTTCTAATAGTCTTTGTCTGAACACTGCTAAGGACTCCATTCACTGGATCATACACTGTCACTTTCACATATGGGTCACTGAAGGGAAAAACAAAAAAAAAGATAAGCAAGTTGCTAGAAATCCTTTTTCTTTTTGTCAGCATTATTAGCAGTTGAGCTATAAAAGGTTTAAATCAACAGAAGCTATGAAACTAGGAGTTACGATTACTTCACAAGAACTGTATATATTGACACTTAGAAACATTTTCTAAACAGTATCATTAATAATGTTTAAATTAGTTTTTAACCCCGTAGCAGCTCTGCTATTTTACATTCTGCATATCACTATAATTGGATTCTTTCTTCTTTCACAATTCTTCTTTCATGAGAAAAGGTTTAAAATATCCTGATGCACTTCTACAAAACACACACGCATGCACAATCAGTTGTGACTGAAAATGCTTGAAGTATTGTACATCTTGGTTTTGACAGTAAGAATTTGGAACATCTAGAATCTGAGGTGCTTCCTTAAACACGCAATATATTTTTAACATTTTCTATTCCAGAGAATTTGAGTTCAACCTGAATGTTTCAGTTAGTGAAGGCGTTTAAGAGGATTGCTTAAAATGGTCTACTGCCTCAGATTGGGATTTTTTTCTTCCTATGATCAACAATCTTATGATTATCTACTTTTTTCTACAACAGGGGCAAAGTGTTCCATTCTGATGCAAAAATCTGACACCATTTTTCTTGGAGAGTTGAAAATCTGTATGCCATTGAAGACAGACAAGACATTCTATGACTTAAAAAAAAAAAACAACAACAAATATCACAAGGGAAATTTTTCTACTGCTAAACTGATGGCACAATATTAATAATATTGTTAGCGCATTATTCTTGCATTCTTGTACATACACCTAAAAAAGCTGACAGCAGATATTAAACCCACCAGCACTTCTCCAGTCCCTCTGCTCAAAGGACAGAAAAAAAAACGTTACCATAAGCTGCATGCCATTGCTTGCCAATTCTACAAGATCCTGCAAAGCATCTCAAAGTCTGATCTTTACTGTGGCAAATGTTAAGCCACTATAATTGTTTCTTCCCTTTTACAGATTGTTAACTTAGAAATTTGTACATACCCAGAGCCTGCAGGCACTGGCACTGGTTTACCACATCTATGGAATTGGTGGATGCTGTTTCTCTGCATGTAATTTGAGTTAAAATAGTCTTGTTGTGCTGTTTAGTATTGTGCTCACCCCAAGCCTTTGAAGTACCGATGAGATACTTTTGATTATAATTGCACTATTGTTTTAACTGCACTCTACCTGAAGAGACATGTTCATGTAAATGTCCTCCCTGACAGAACCACTGTATTATGTGGAAAATTATGCTTTACCACACATTGTTTTCCTAGGTCATAAGGTCTGTCCAAGTAACTCTGAGGCAAGAAAGCACACATCTTAAATGTTTATATAGCCTCTGATCATTTACAAGGTATCAGTTAAAACAATTCTGCTTTCTTTTGAAACACATATAGTAGGCTTTACTAAGATAAATAGCTATGGAAAGTAAATAATCAGATGTCTCCTAAGATATTAACCCCATGTGTTCTTACCTGGCTCCTAGGATGTCCTTCTTGGCCAGACCGATTCCAGCTATAACCTTCACCCTGACAATTCGTGTGTTCTCCTGAAATACAAAATGCCATGTTTAGGATGCGTTCAGTCAATTTAGTTTTCAGATCTGTTTCTAGTCTACAGAGCTAAAAAGCAATTATTGGCAGTTTTGGATTCACACTGAAAACTACAGATCAGTAGTGTAGATACATTGTCTGACTGAACAAGTTCTAAAATTCAATAGCAAGTTCAATCTACTTTTACTCCTTTCCAAGCATCGCACTGCATACAGTAATAGACAGAGAATTCAACCAACCAGCTATATCAAAATTGTAGGGTTTTTTGTTTGATTGGTTTTTTAATAATTTATCTGGGTTCTCAGCATTCTCAAGTGGGATTCTGTTGAGTTAGGGTGCTTAATGCTACAGGACATGATGGCTAATCTCACATATAGCTGTTCCCAGCAGCCCCCTTTCCCAAACACCCCTCAGAAAGATGACACTGCTCCAGCACCAGCAGTCACCATTTTCCCCTGAGAGCCCTGCAATACTCTCCTACTGATTTGTATGTATTATGCAGCACACAAGGTTGAGCAAAATAGGAAGAGTGAGCAAGCTGCTATCACTGCAATTCAAACAGCCCTGTGGCTTCTATGGCACCCAAGCTGCACACAGCTCTGGTCACGCTACCGAGCCAGGCAGACATGAGAAATTCAGGTGGGTTGACCTCAGTGAGGTTGGAAGCACATTA